CTGGGAGCCAGAGTCCTCAATGGCAAACAATGCACTTGGCCAGGAGAGCTAGGTGGTGATAATCTCAAAAGAGAGGATTTTGTAGGCAAGTGTAGAAGTACTGATCTCGAATCGTTTTGAGTGAAAAAGAGGAAGTCTGCCTTCTCCGTTCTCTCAGGCCTACAGGCTTGGGATGAGAAAGGGTGAGCAGCCTCCACCAGTCTTATCTAAGGAAGCGGTACCCTCATTGGATAGTAGGGTCTAAAGTCGTTGTTCTCAATCCCAGCTATGTAATAGAAATACCTGAGGAATTTTAAAAAACAAAGATGCCTAGGGCTACCCCAGACTAACTGAATCTGAATCTCTGGGGATGGCATCTCTCTCTTTTTTTAAGTTCTCAGATGAAAATGATGTACAGTGAAGTATGAAAACCTAAGGCAAGAGGTGAAGGAAGAGGTAGAAAATGTAGAAAAAAATGTTTCTGACAGGACAAACTCTTGCTGGTAAAAGAACTGCAGAACACTGGGGTGGGCATATAAAAGATGATAGGTGACTAGAGGGGCTTCTCATTCTTTATGAAGTAGCAGAATAGAGAAAGATGTCGGGATGAGAGATTCTGGAGAAATTAGGTGGCCCTAGGAATTACAACTGGAACTCCCAGTAGATCTCAAGGTCAAATGCTGTTTGCAGTTTGTGGTCCAGGCAGCAATTTGTAGCCTTGTTCTGAGTTCCAATAGAATATGGGAGATACACTTAGAAAGTGATACTTTTTTGGACTTCTGCTCTCTGCAAATGTCAACCCAGAGAGCTGACCAGGTTGAGCCTTAAGATAAATGACAAATGCTCACAGAATTTTGCAGGGTGATACAGACATTTTAGTGTATCTAAAAAAAACAAAACAAAACAAAAACCGGTTCTCATCTAGGGTCTAGTTTATTGCTAAACACTTACTGAAAGCTAGAGGGTTTTTTTTTTGTTTTTTTTTTTTTTTTTAATGCCACTGGGTAATAAATAGTTTAACTATTGAAAACTTTGGTTCTGGAGACAAAGTGGGGACGTAGATTCAAATCCTGGCTCTGATATTTGCCACCTGTGTAACCCTGGGTATATGATTTAACCCCATCAAGTCTCGCTTTTCTCATCTATAAAACAAGAATAAGACCTACCTCTTAAGACTGTTGTGGAGATTAAATGAGATAGCTTCAGACACTTGGCACGTGGTGAGTGTCCATTCATGATAGCTATTAAGTGTGCAGGTACAAACTAGTTGCAGGGGAATGTGAGAATAAATAAATTACACTCTTTACTGTCAATTATCTCAAATTTTAGATAGAGAGGTAGATATGTAAAAAATAATCCTATGCTGATGGTACCAAGCTCCAAGTATACACTGAGTAGTTCTATGGGAGCATGAAAGGACAGGCATTTAACTTTGTCTGCAGAGAGGAGATAGGAAAAGACTTGCCAAAGGAGAAGAAGCCCAAGAGTGAGTCTTTAAGAGTAAGGACTAATAGGAGTGATCCACATAAATTTGGGGGAAAGGGTAAGAAGTAAGACTTTCCAGGCCTAGGTATGGCATGTATAAAAGCTCGGAGGTATGAGAAAGCCTGGCAGCTTAGGGAGCATTGAATGTGTATAAGTAGTAGGGCCCATGGCAAGAATAGAGAAGCTGGAGTGGTAAACTAGGAACATATCATGCAGGCCCTTGGGTATCATGCTAAGAAACATGAACTTTTAACTTACGGGTAATAGGGGACAGCATTTAAGCATCTTAAAGGCAAGAATGTTACTTAGGAGGCTGAGACAGGAGAATCACTTGAACCCAGGAGGCAGAGTTTGCAGTGAGCCGAGATCATGCCACTGCACTCCAGCCTGGGCAACAGAGCGAGACTCCATCAAACAAACAAATAAACAACAACAACAACACCACCACACACACACAAAATGCAAGAATGTGATCTAGCCACAGAGTAGAGAAATGAATGGAAGTGAATAAAATTGGAGGCAGTGACGCTAAGTGAGAAGTGCTGATGCCTTGGACTAAGATAATTATTTGTGGGGATGAAGATTCAACATTCAAGACCAGTTTAGGAGATAGAATATATAAAACTTGATGATCAATTAGCATAGAAATAAAGGAGTGAAAGATGACCCCCAGATTCTTGGCTTGGGCAGCTGGGCCACTGCTGGATTACTCAGGAGCCAGAGAAAGCATTTGTATATGGCATCTAGTAAATCAGAAGTACCCAAAATGTGGAAACAGTTTAATTTTGAATATATAGCTTAAAAAAAGACTCAATCACCATAGGAACATCAGAACTTTTTCACTTCCTTAATTATTTATGCCTTAGTATTGTTTTTATTTGAATTGCATATTGCAGAGGAGGATTATAATTTTTTTTTTCATTGCTCAGAGCTGCCTAAAGGAGGAGGAGCCTAAGGCCTTGCTTCTTCTTTAATCTGTGTGGTTAGTGGTATCATTTCACTGAGATAGGGAACACTAGAAGAGGAGCAAACTTGGGCTTCCTGCCTTTGTTATGTTTAGCCCTGAGTGAAGAAAATTGCATAGTCAGGCTGATAAGGGATTGGCAGTCAGGTGGCCTTCTAGGAGAACACCATTAAGCCAATTCTGCATATAACTCAGCCCAAGTGGAGTGTTTAGTCAATTTGCTACTAATAGAAAAGTTGGGAGAGTTTATTTGCTGACAAGAGGGGCCATGAATTCAAGTTGATAGAAGGTTTGGAGGTACAGATTAAGGTAGGGGCTCTTAGCTTGGAGTCCAGGGGAATTATGAATCTGTGAAAGTATATGTATATAGTACATTTTTATGGGCAGAAGTTCCATAGCTTTCTTCAGATTTTTCAGAAGATTGACCCCAAAAAACTTACCAAGAGCTAGTTACTGTGAAGTGAATGAAACTGCTCCTTCAGAATTCCTGACTTGCCTGGAACTCTTCCAAGGCCCTGGGAGGGGCCCCGGTACATTTGTATTTGTAATTTTACAATGTTTTTTACTTAAAGGGAACCTTCCTCTCAAGTTACATAAAGTATTTGGTCCCCCAACATGTGGATCCACCCCTGCCAACCACAGATTAGGGAATTACCTGAGTTAGTATTTGGGAGTGGAGGCAATCCAATAGAGAAAGAAATGCAGAAGGCCAAAAACTGAACTAGCAAAGTCAAAAGCAATGACAATCAAAGAAAGAATGGTCACTGAGAAAGGAGGAATGCCAGGCCACATTGTCAAGGAAGTAAAAAGAGAAGTAGCTAGCCATGGCCAGCATGGATGGGACATCATGAAAGAGAAAAAGTAAGAAAATGATTACAGGAGTGGCGAGGACACCTTCAAAGGAGTGATGAGACCAGAGTGCCTTTCTGAACAAGTAAAAAATGGTAGTTGAACAAGTATAAATGTTAGCTATAGTTCACAAACATGCAAGGGAAGTAGGAGTACCAACAGAAAGCTCTGAACTTCACTATTGAGTTAGAATAATATTCATGAATAATGTAGGCTCACTATAAAAATGGAATCTGTACTGAGGGTAAGTTATATGGCATTTACGTATTTTTTTCAAAATGAGTCCTAAATGTGCTCCATGGCCAGGCAAAGGCCTTGGGTGACTCTTGTTCCCCTGCTCCCAACCTTTATTTCCTGATTCTGTATATTTTCTCACACTAGTTCAGTTTTCATATTTCTGCCCCATATCTCTGTCTTGTGGCTGGAGATAAGGAACAGTGAGAGAGAGTGGAATGAGACAAGAAGTCATAAGAATAGCCTTTGAACATGAAAAGTTTTGAATTTAAAATTTATCACGGGTAACCCACAAAACCACTAATCAATATATGGTTGAGTGTTGTCTGTAATTCAGGCCAAGGCAACATCTATTTGAACCAGAATGTTCTAAATTGACCACCCTGGCAATTCTGAAGCTGATTGGTTTTAACTGAGTAAACCTGGTTCATGCTGACTTGCCCTGTATTAGGAGGGTGAGTACTATTTTTTTCAGTGTGAAATGTAGCCTCACCAGAGATACATGCTCAGATCTGCAAATAAGTGTGTTATGGAAGCTGCTAGATGCCATTTTAGAGTGTTTCCACAGTGACTTCCTCCTGGGAACTATTTCCAGATAGACTATAGTTCTCAACTTAGTTTATTCAGTGATTATATCTTTTTAGGCTTTTAAATTATGAGCTACTGATACATTTATTTATAAATATGTAACTATGAAAAATCTACTTGAAAAACACAGTGATTTTTGAATGGCTGATATGATAAAATATAATGGAAACATGGAAAAATAACTACAAACTAGAAAAACTAAACCAAGGAATGGCTTTAAGTTTTCTGAAAACTAAATAAAATTAATTCAGTAAAAAAAAAAAAAAAAGCAATTTGTAGCTTTTTACTAGCAAAGTGCTGGGTAGGAAATGATTGAAATATTTTTGATAATAAAAAAGGTTTGTAACATAATTGATTTGCAGTGATATTCTTGTTAATAGAAGAGTCTATTAAGATATGGTTAATAATATAAACATGTTAAATTAAATAAGTACCAACCACTTGATTATTAGCTATTGTTAACATAGAAACAATTCACAATATCTTTATCAAAAGCTGAAGTGGTTTTCTTTTCTGTTTGTTCTTTCTAATAGTATGCCTTAGCTTGACTTGTGTATGATGAATTTCTTCCTTAGTAAGTGGTATTTGATTCAACAAAGCCGGTTAAGCACAATATCCCTAGATACCTCCTGGTTACACTGGTAAAAGGCAGAAATCAGTTTGAATGAGAGAATTGTTTCAAATGAGTTTTGGAAATTTTGAATTATTTGGACATAACATTTGTCATCATACTCTTAGCTACTTCTGCAAATAATTGGATTTTCTGGAGTTAAGTGTTGTTAAAATTGCGTTGGAATCAATTGTCTTTCAACTTTGTAATTCTTTTGATGAACCTAATTGTACAACTTGTGGATGCCAAAACTATACCCCAAATAAATACATGTTAACATTTTGCCTTTAGCCAATAAGAAGAAGGAGAAAGAGCGCCCAGAGATCTCTCTTCCTTCAGACTTTGAGCATACGATTCATGTGGGGTTTGATGCAGTCACCGGGGAATTCACTGTAAGTAAGCTCCTTGTTTTGTTTTGTAAGCCACGAAAGAATTCCCTTGTGAAAATAGGTTTCAAGCAAGAATTGCCATGTCCCAAAATGTCAGACTTAATATTTTTGATGGTTCCAAATAAGATGGACATTGCCTAGGCAATCATAGATGGAAATAGAGGATGGCAACAGCATTGGCCGAATTATTTTGTCCATCTTTTAAAAAAGTTTGATCACTGTATAGTCTCAACTTGGTTGAAAATATTAACCAACCATGGCACAGAAATTGTACTCCTGGCAGAGAGACACTGCCTGAGCTTTTTCTTTATCAAGTGAACTGAATCAGAGAATCATCTACTCACCTTGGCCAGTGAAAATAATCCATAAAAATATTTCAGGCTTTACATTAAAACCTAGAATACCCAGCTCAGTTAACTACACTAACCAAGAATCTCTATGGAACTGACCTGCTTTTCCCTTTGATTTCAAGAACGTAGATTATTTTATAATTTTTAGTAGGTACATTTTGCAGATATTCAAAAAACAAACCTTATATTTCAAGAAGAAATTTTGATGGATATATCATGTATGTTCTAGTTGTTATGTGCATCTCTCTCCTCTCTCTCTAGATATCTCTCTAGAGATGTTATGCAATCCATAGTAAATACCGATGAGAATTCTCTGGATAGACCATAGCTATAGATCAAGACTTTTGCTGAATATTTGTAGTGCTCAAACAGCATAAGATCTCAGATCTATGAAATTTTATACTTTTTTAAAAAAAAGAACTGGTAACTTTTTTTTTTTTTAGATCAATGAGGGAAAAGATGTGGCTATGGCTAGAAATATGTCCCCAGGAAGGTCAACTACCTTTTTCCATGCTATTAATGAACTCCATCAAAATGTACATTCTGAAATAAGGAGTAATTTTGAGGGCATTTCAAGAAAAATCTTTGATAGAGCCATCACTATCAATTCCTGTGCTGTTAAACCAGAGAGAAATTTACATATTAAGTAGTTGAGTTTTTTGTTTCATAACATAGTAGTGAATAGACTGTGTTATATGATTAAGTGGAAAAAAAGAAGGAACAAATTAATCTATGTGGAGAAGCAAACAATGTTGCTGAATTGACAGTCAAATTATCTTATTTTTTCAATTCTGGAAGTAAGTGATATGAGAATGGAAATGGAAACAGTAAACACCTTGGCCTCGTAAAGTGGTGTGAGCTGATTATTTCTGCGTTCTCGGTAGCAAGCAGAGGAGAACGTTAAGAAATATTTACACATAAAGTGGAGATAGGTAAGATTTAACCAATTTCATCATTAAAGTCAGAGACATTACTCAAATGGCTTTGAGTTTGAACCTAGTCTTTACTATATTTGCAGAATATTCTCTTAGCCACACTTAGATACTCCAGCCTTGCTATTACCACTACCACCACCATCATCACCACCAGAAAAAAAGTAATTTGTATAACCTGAAAAACTTTATATTTTTTAAAAATTATACAAATATTTTAACTATTTTTGCTGACACTTGAAACAAGAAAATCCCTTAAACTTTATAAAGGTTTTGCCTAATAACTCTTCCCTTTTTAATTAATTTTTCCAGCTTTGACATTTTAATGTTCTCTGTGCTTTTCCTCATTTAAACTACTCTTGCGTTTTATTGTTGTCATTCACTATTTGTCTTTTTTTCTTCCTTTTTGTTTTCTGATGTGAAAATTTTCTCATCCAGTTATCCCATGTGACATTCTAGTTGCTTTCCAATATTTTATTCTTTCCACTTTTCAAACTTACTTGTCATCTTATTATACAGTATCTCTCTCTCTAGCTCTTTCATTTATCTTTCTGGATTCTGAATGGAAATGAAAGAAAGTAAATCACCACCATCTTGCTAACTGCAGCACCAGTCATTTTCATTTTGCTGTCAATTAGAACCCAAAGAACCCAAAGTGATAGGCTATCTTTCCAATGATGAAAAACAGTTGGATACAGCCAAACCATATGAAACAAATACCCCTCTCCCCACTAAATATATCCCCAATTTGAAATAAGATAGCCGTTTGGAAATATTCCATTGTTATGAATCCATTGAATATATAGATAGACATAGGCTAAATTTGGTAAATGGAAGTACTTTATTGTCATCTTGATGATCTTTTGTAACTACTTGTTCATACATTATTTTTAAAGATGCCAAATTCTGCCCTTGTTGGTACTTTTTTAACCTGTGGTTTACATTTACTATATTATTATGTTTATTAAATTTAAACATGCCAAATTATAAAAAGCTTTCAAGAAAGTGTTTTTATTGGTAGGATTTAGAATTGGGTCCTAATTGTCAATGCACCACTAATTTATTGCGTGTTGGGAGGGGATCATATTGTTAAGTTTGATTATCGTGGTTGTTTAGGTTGAATTTTGTGCAATTTGCTGAACTATCTAATCCAGTTGTCTTACAAGGGCTTGTTATTTTGAATATTTGGACACTGATTTGCTGTGTTGCTTGGTGATTACTCTCTGGCTAATTGGCCCATATGACCTTGTTTGTATACCTGGTCATACACTTGGACCCTGAAGCTAAACGTAGGTTGGGAGGTGAGATTTTTGGTATTCAATGATTACAGGTCCTTACCCTTTATATTGCCATTTTTGTCCCAAATACTTCAGAACTCCCCTTTCCAGACCTCTAGACCTGTGACGGTCGCTTCAAGTCAATCAGAGGGAAAAATGGTATGAGTGATATAAATTATCATTTCTTATGATAAGATAAATGCTTGGCCTGTTATATCATGCTGCCATTCTCCTGGGCTACACTGGACAACCCCCAGCTTGATGTACTTCTAGTTGGTATCATATACACAGTCAGGCATTGATATGTGCTCCTGCTTCTGATGCTCAAACTCTTAGGTCTTCATTAGCTGTCTGACTTTTGGGATTAGTTTCTCAATGTGGCATAATGAGATGGCTTTATGACTATGTGCCTTTGTGGCATACATTCAAACTTGAATGTCAGGTTTTATTGATAATTGGGTTTGTCTCAACTTAGAAAAAAGAAATGTCAGCAGTATAGTCAAAATTATGTCAGCAGTGTAGTCATGTGGTAAGTATAGTTGTCTGGAGGATTTTTTGCTATTGACAGCATTTTTTCCTGCTGTCTAGTGATCATAAGACTATTTATCACAAAAGCTTAGAAGTGCCATGGGAATGTATAATAACTGCAAATATTCTAATGATTATTGTAATGATTACGCCAGTAACGTCTGCTCTAGTGGTAATGTGCAATGCATACCTCAATTTGTAACACTTAATAACTCCTTTGGCCATTACGGTATTAACCAAATGCTATTAATTGCACTTAGAATCAGAACTGGGATAATGCATGGGCTCCTGAGTTCAAATTTTTGGCTTAAGGCTTTAGCATCTAGCCGCGTGAAAAATGCATGTAAAAATGTCATTTCACTGTGCTTGGAGTAACCCCAAATACCAGGAATCAAGGACATATATCCAAAATCAAGCCAGTTGGGTCAAGCATGTTTCTGTAGCATTTGAGAGATCTTTATTTAGGCAAAGCTGTTACCTTATATCTTGTCTTATTTTGTGGGAAGCGGGATTTTAGAACTGCAGTACTAAAATGGAAATTATATATATATGGTTTGAAATGGAACGGTTTCCCTTTCCCTAGTCTAAATATCTAAGAAACTTAAAATATAGAGTCTGGCTGTGTGGGAATGTTCTTTACCTAGTTTTCTCTAAGCCAGCCATGACTTTAGCTACAAAGTGAAAAAGAATCACATCAATGAGAATAAAATTCAGTGTTTCCATACAGCCATCCTTTGAATTTTAGCCACATACACACTTTTGAAACTAAAATTGGTTAACCAGAATTGGGAACTGAAATTTGTAAGTTTCTCACATGGCCATTGGCTACCTGTGGTCACCCAATTATAAAAACAACTTACAAACTATTGTCAAAGCTTTTCATGATGCCATCCTTCTTGCCTCCAAATTCATATTTCTGCCTTTTACTAATTTCTCCAATCATTTAATGGTAATTCTTATTAATACATATTTATGGAGGAAGCATCTTGCCAAAAGTGGGATTATACATCCAAACTTTGGAACATTGTCATTTTCTCTGTTCTCTTAAATCTGTTGTCCTGTAGCCTGTCCTGTCCCTGATTTAGTTAAAACCTCCCTATTTTCATAACCGCCCCACTTTAGAAGGGACTCCCCCCATTCAGACCCATTGATTTCATCTCCTCCCACCTTCTAAGTTGTCCCACATTCTGTTTTAACTTTCTTTTCTTTCTTTATTTACGTCCATTACAGCCAGATCTCTATGGCTCACAGATGTGCCCAGGGAAGCTCCCAGAGGTGCGTCACAGGCCCAAAAGAAGCTTGCATCAAAGTGCTTCTTTGAGATGTCATAGCACTGCAGCAGCAGGTTCATGTGTGTGCAGTAGAGTTGTTGCTTGGCTTATCTCACTTTTTTTGTTGTCATTCCCAAACTCTGGAGGCCCACGTCACACATTGTTTTGCCGAGACTTCATAGGACAAAGCCACATAAATTGTGTCTGGATGCACTTCAGGAATAGTGTGTCTGTTTCTCTCTCCAAGTTTCTCTTGGAGGTTGGATAATTATGAAATTGAGACTTCTGTAGGCTGAACATGTAGGAAAGAATGTTGAATGCTCAATGCAAAGCTAACCTCTAATTTTTGCAATTCTCCTTGGTTATATTTCCAAATACTCCCTCCTCTCTGCTCTAAATGCTTCAGATTATTATAAATTCTCATAAGGCTTTGGCGTGGTTTTCATAGTCCCCAGGTTCTATGTGGCCTAAAAATGAAGTGAGGAGGAAGGGAGAGAGAGAGGAGAGGAGAAGGAGGGCATGCCCTGGAGAAAGCTGCAGGGAAAATGCCCAAAGCAGCATTAATGTTACTGTTTAGCATCTCAGTGGTTCTTGCTCCTCCACAATTCTATTTTTTTCTTCTACCGACCTGACTTTATAGTAAAGCTCTAGACCCAAAAAATTACATTTTGTAATCATGAAGTATAACCTGACCAAGGGTGATCCTTTCCTTTTATTCTAAAATATATTCTGATTACAACATGACCAGAAACAGCTTATGTTATTCCAGTCATAAAACCCATTGATCTGCACTTTACTATGCTGTGCACAAATTTAGAGAAGTCTTGCTATGTCTGCCCTGAGTCGCCAGAAAAAAAATAAGCTAAGCCGTAAACATCATTTCATGGATGAGCAGAGTCAATATGGAGGTGATTTTCATGCGCTTTTTTTTTTTCTATCACAGTCATACTCCCACCCACCCTTTTTAAGTTGGATCCTAGTTTTACCTATGTGTTTTAATTAGAGAAGAGAATGATTGCATTATTAAGTTACTAACTTTAAATCTAGAATGTAACTTCAGTTTCCCAAGTGTAATCCTACAGGTAGCATGGGCTTCTTGGTGAAGAACTTTACTGGAACATAAAAGTGCTGCTGCAGAATGTTCTGAGCCACCATTCTTTCACTTTGGTTGTCCACAGGGAATTCCCGAGCAATGGGCACGATTACTCCAAACCTCTAACATAACAAAATTGGAACAGAAGAAGAACCCCCAAGCTGTTCTAGATGTTCTCAAATTCTATGATTCCAAAGAAACAGTCAACAACCAGAAATACATGAGCTTTACATCAGGAGGTAAGAGGAAGTCTGTGGTATCAAAGGTGAAGAAGTAATTTCAATCTCAGAGCGTGATGTTGAGAACAAAATGTCTGTGGGACATTTGAAGTCAGTTCTAGTACCTTCTTCAAATGCCATCAACATAAGGAAACCAAAAAATGAGTCAGAATTTGAGGTTGATGTTAAGTTATATAACTCAAGTATTTTTAGAATCAAAATAAGGTAATTATTTAGTGAAGTAGTAGTTGTGAGCTTGAATTGGTAGTGACAATTGTTGTCTCTTTACTGTCATAAAGACACTCAGTCATTTATCGAGTTTTGTGATATGTTCATTAAGTAAGAGTTGCATGCATGAAACCATGGTCTCTGGAAATTTATTTTGTCCCTTAGATTCATTGATTTGCAGCATGATGACACAGCACACATTTTGTTTGGTGTCAGGTTATTTTGATAAGACCCCCAAATCAGACCGAAAAGAGAAAACTATATCTCACTATGTTTAGAAATTGAAATATCCATGTTATTGCCAAATCTTGACCTCATTTGCTAGTGTGTAGATTTAGTCTTTGTTTGGAGCTTTGATGTTCAAATTTGCACTATAAGCAACTGTATTGGTCCATTTTCATGCTGCTGGTAAAGACATGTCCAAGACTGGGAAGGAAAAGAGGTTTAATTGGACTTACAGTTCCACATGACTGGGAAGACCTCAGAATCATGGTGGGAAGTGAAAGGCACTTCTTACTTGACAGCAGCAAGAGAATATGAGAAGGAAAAAAAAGTGAAGAACCCCGATAAACCCATCAGATCTCATGAGACTTATTCAGTTTCATGAGAATACCATGGGAGAGACCAGCCCTCATGATTCAATTACCTCTCCCTGGGTCCCTCCCACAATATGTGGGAATTCTGGGATATACAATTCAAGTTGAGATTTGGGTGTGGACACAGCCAAACCATATCATTTTGCCCCTGGCCCCTCCAAATCTCTTGCCCTCACATTTCAAAACCAATCACGCCTTCCCAACAGTCCCCCAAAGTCTTAACTCATTTCAGCATTAACCCAAAAGTCCACAGTCCAAAGTCTCATCTTAGACAAAGCAAGTCCCTTTTGCCTATGAGCCTGTAAAATCAAAAGCAAGCTCGTTACTTCCTAGATACAATAGGGGTACAGGCATTTGGTGAATACAGCCATTCCAAATGGGAGAAATTGGCAAAAACAAAGGGATTACAGGGCCCATGCAAGTCCAAAATCCAGCGGGGCAGTCAAATCTTAAAGCTCCAAAATGATCTCCTTTGACTCCAGGTCTGACATCTAGGTCATGCTGATGCAAGTGGTGGATTCCCATGGTCTTGGGCAGCTCCACCCCTGTGACTCTGCAGGTTCCAGCCTCCCTCCCAGCTGCTTTCACAGGCTGCTGTTGAGTGTCTGTGGCTTTTCCAGGTGCATGGTGTAAGCTTTCAGTGAATCTACCATTCTGGGGTCTGGAGGATGGTGGCCCTCTTCTCACAGCTCCACTAGGCAGTGCCCTAGTACGGACTCTGTGTGTGGGCTCTGACCCCATAGTTCCCTTTCGCACTGCCCTAGCAGAGGTTCTCCATGAGGGCCCCAACCCTGCAGTAAACTTTTGCCTGAGCATCCAGGCATTTCCGTACATCTTCTGAAATCTAGGTGTATGTTCCCAAACCTCAATTCTTGACTTCTGTGCATGTGCAGGCTCAACACCACGTGGAAGCTGCCAAGGCTTGGGGATTCCACCCTCTGAAGTCACAGCCTGAGCTGTGTGTTGGCCCCTTTCAGATAAAGCTGGATTAGCTAGGACACAGGGCACCAAGCCCCAAGCTGTACACAGTACAGGGACCCTGGAGCTGGCCCACAAACCACTTTTTCCTCCTGGGCCTATGGGCCTGTAATGGGAGGGGCTGCCGTGAAGTTCTCTGACATGGCCTGGAGACATTTTCCCCATGGTCTTGGGGATTAACATCAGGCTCCTTGCTACTTATGCAAATTTCTGCAACCGGCTTGAATTTCTTCCCAGAAAATGAGTTTTTATTTTCTATCACATAGTCGGGCTGCGCATTTTCCAAACTTTTATGCTCTGTTTCCCTTATAAAACTGAATGCCTTTAACAATACCGAAGTTACTTCTTGAATGCTTTGCTACTTAGAAATTTATTCCACCAGATATCCTAAATCATCTCTCTCAAGTTCAAAGTTCCACAAATCTCTAGGACAGGGGCAAAATGCCGCCAGTGTCTTTGCTAAAACATAACAAGAGTCACCTTTGCTCCAGTTCTCAAAGGTTCCTCATCTCCATCTGAGACTACCTCAGCCTGAATTTTATTGTCCATATTGCTATCAGCATTTTGGACAAAGTCATTCAACAAACCTCTATGAAGTTCCAAATTCCCCACATTTTTCTGTCTTCTTCTGAGCCCTTTCAAACTGTTCCAATCTCTGCCTGTTACCCAGTTCCAAAGTCACTTCCACATTATTGGGTATCTTTTTAGCAACGCCCCACTCTACTGGTACCAATTTACTGTATTAGTCCATTTTCCGGCTGCTGATAAAGACATACCTAAGACTGGGAATAAAAAGAGGTTTAATTGGACTTACAGTTCCACATGGCTGGGAAGGCCTCAGAAGCATGGTGGGAGGCAAAAGGCATTTCTTACATGGCAGCAGCAAGAGAAAATGAGAAAGAATCAAAAGCAGAAACCCGTGATAAACCCATCAGATCTTGTGAGACCGGCCCCCATGATTCAATTACCTCCCACTGGGTCCCTCCCACAACACTTGGGAATTCTGGGAGATAGAATTCAAGTTGAGATTTGGGTGGGGACACAGGCAAGCCATATCAGCAACTGAAATATATATACCAAATAATACTTTCACATTTTGAGATAGATGATTTGAGTTCTCTCTCTACAATAATTTATTAACTTATTATTTAACATCTAAAGAATGAAGGGAGTATTATCATTAGTACTCCAGCTATAAAGAGCCCCTACCTCTTGGCACTGGATTTAGTATAAGCAGGCTTTAAGTTTCTTTGAGAATGATCCAAGGATACCCTTGGAAGGGGAAGAGTGTCTGATTTGGCCATATCAAATATCAAAGCCCAAACTGCTAAACTGGACTTTCTTAAAATGAGAAGATTGCTTAACTGCTGTTATTCAGTGTTGAAAACCTAAAAAGAAAGCCATCAAGGAAAACTTTTTACTATATTTAAGCTTCCACATAGAATAAAATATCTAAGAGATCCTGGTGACATATCAAAAAATGTTTCATGTGAGAAAATCAAGAGCTGTGCTCCAAGTTAGACCCATAGGCAACCAGAACTGAAAATGTATTCAAGAAATCATTTCACTGTAACCATGAATACACTTTAGAGTATCAGAGTTTGTTCTTTACTCCAAATAGCCATTGCTGTTTAACACTTAGTTTTATATGCCAAATTTCTCTCAACTTACAAAGATGAAATCCTGACAACTATATTAAAACTGTATAGTTGTACTGTACTGAAGGCTGAGTGTACCTCATCATAGGTTTTCTGAATGCTTTGGTATTGGGACTGACTAATTGCACAGGAGAAGAGGAGGAGAAGATGGAGATAGCACAGGAAGGTGGAAAGAAGGAATGGAAAGGAGGTAGGGAAAGAGGAAAGTGGGAAAAATCCTAGATATAGAGTAGTTCCCCACTTACTCACGTGGAATATGTTCTAAGACCTCCAGTGGATGCCTGGAACCATGGATAGTACTGAACCTTATGTATACCATGTTTTTTGTCTATACCTGCTTACCTATGATAAAGTTATAAATTAAGCACAGTAAGAGATAAACAGCAATAACTAATAATAAAATAGAACAATTATAACAATATGCCAGCATCACTACTTTTGCTCTTTGGGGCCATTATGAAGTAAAATAAGGGGTATATGACTACAGGCACTGTGATAGCTCCACAGTTGTTCTGATAACCAAACTGGCTATTAAGTGACTAGTAGGCTGGTAGTGTAAACAGAGTGGGTATACTGGACAAAGGGATGATTCATGTTTCAGGTGGAATGGAGCAGGACAGCATGATATTTTATCATACTCAGAATGGCATGCAGTTTGAAACTCATGAATTGGTTATTTCTGCAATTTTTGATTTAATATTTTTGAATCACAGTTGACCACAGGTAGCTGAAACCACAAAAAGTGAAACTTCAGATAAGGGGGACTACTATAGATGTATAGAATCATATCAGTTAAGAGTAGGTAACCTTGTCATTCTTCCATATAAATGAGATTCACCAGAGGCCTTCATTAATGTCTGTAAAATGACCTTGTAAGAATATGGTGAGGATGTAATGGTGTGAGCTATTTTAAGAAAAGCTATGTCATTAGTCATAATATCTAGTTAATACTAAATGGGAACATTTCCTTCTAGTTGAAATCATGCAGTTTTTTCATTTTTATTTTTCTGGTGTGGTCTCTGAATGAAACAGTCTTTGTGAAACAAAAGTGACCTCTCTATTCTCACTTTGCAGATAAAAGTGCACATGGATACATAGCAGCCCATCCTTCGGTAAGTGAAAAATTGAAAACTGTTTCACATGATGGGTGTTTCCAAAGATTCAAGAGAATATAACTGCATAGATCCAGGTTTTAGATATAGAGTCTTTTAAAAACAGTTTTAAGGTATAATTCAGTTATATAAAATTCATCTATTTTCAGGTAAACAGTTCAATGAGTTTTGGTAAATATATATACCTGTGCTACCATCACCACAACTGAGTTTTAGAACATGTCCATCACCCCAGTAAAATCCTTCGTACCGGCTTACAGTTAACTCCACTCACCCCACCCTAGTCACAGGCAAGAACTAATATAGATTCTGCCTTTATGGATTTGGCTTTCTGGACATTTCATGTAAATGAAATAATACAGCATGTGACTTTTGGGGATTGGCTTTCTTTACTCAGTTTAATTCTTTTAAGATTAATCCAAGTTATTGTATATATCAATAATTTGTGTTCCTTTTTAATCTCTGAGTATTCCATGGTATGATTGTACCACTGTTTGTTTAACCATTCATACATCGAAGTCTCTCTAGAAAATTTTCAGTTGCTAGCTATTACAAATAAAGCTACTGGGAACATTCTTGTACAGGGTTTTTATGTGAACAATGTTTCCGTTTCTCTTACATGTAGAACTTTGAGAATAATAATCATGTTAATAAAAATTTCTCTCAACACCTACAGTGTACACTTACAATACAAACTGTAAGATAATTTTATTTTTATAAGTACTTAATCTTTCCTACAGCCCAATTAAGTAAGTCTCACCATTGTCCCCATTTTACAGATGAGGAAACTGAGGTTTTGAGAAATTAAATAGCTTCTCTAAGGTTATAACAGTATAAGTTTTGTATGTCACTTGTTCCAAAAAACCGAGGTACAGTGAGGGAAGTGACTTTGTCCAAAGTCACATAGATAATTTTTATCAGAGAAGTGACTAGAAAATAAGTAACCTAGTTGTTGAAAGTGTTATAGTATCTGAAAGAGTATTTGAACACATTAGACAGAAAATGATCTCAGATATTCTGATAGAAATTACTTCCTCCCTCATTTGCTTTTTTAGGGGTGAAATAATTTGCATTACTGAAAATCTCCTAACCATTTATTCAAACAGTCATGGATGGCCAAGCTGATTCTTCTTCCTTTTATAGCAGACAAATGCCTTTTATAGTGGACAGATGTCTGCTTGACATAACCCTAGGTAGCCAGTATGACACCAGTAGATCTTCTTTAGTTGTAAAGAGTAAAGGTTCTGAAATGTTATGTCAGCTTCTCAAAAATTAAAAATGGTATTAACCATATGATCTAGCTATTCCACTTCTGGGTATATACCCATAATTGAACGCAGGATCTCCAAGAGATATTTATACACCCACGTTCATTGCAGCAATATTCACCGTAGGCAAATGGTGGAAGCAACCCAAGTGTCCATCAACAAATGAAGGGGTAAACAAAAGATGGTATGTATAAACAGTAGAATATTATTAAGCCTTAAAAAGAAGACAATTCTGACACATGTTACAACATGGATGAACCAGGAAAACATTATGCTAAATGAAATAAGCCAGTCACAAAAGGGTATATACTATATGATTCCACATATACGAGGTACCTAAAGGAGTCAAATTCATAGAGACAGAAAGTAGAATACTAGTTGCCAGGAGCTGGGAGCAGGGGGAGTGGGGAGTTGTTTAATGGTACAGAGTTTCCGTTTTACAAGATGAAAAGAGTTATGGAGATGAATGGCTTTGGTCATTATACAACAATATCCTCAACAGTACTGAAATGTATACCTAAAAATGGTTAAGATGGTAAATTTTATGTTATATATATTTTACTACAATTAAGAATAAAATGAAAAAAGAAAGAGTGTAGGTTCTGGATGTAGGCATTTAATCTGATTTCGCTATTTACTAAGTATGTGACATTGGGAAAGTAGCTTAGCTTCTCTGAGCTTCTTTCCTCAGCTTTAAGAGGGAATAATAATAGTACTTACCTCCTAGGTCTTGTGTGAATATTAAATGTGATAATGCATATAAAGTACTTAGTATAGTACCTAGCACATAATATGTATTTATTAAATGTAAACTACTGTTATTTTTACATGACAAAAGAGGAAAAACTCACTCTTTTCACACATGAAACTTGTACTTGCGCTTTGCTCGGATTCCCCAAAACAGAACAGAATATGGCCTTCTCATCTGACTGGCCATTTCCTCTTTTCCTCCATCTTTGCCATGATAGCTTCCTGGGCCACAATGAAAACAACATGTGAAGGGAGGCAATAGGAAAATGAGAAGGACAAAAATGACAACCCTCCATGATAACACATACTTTACCTGCTTTGATTTCATTAATGTCACGCTTGTGCAATCTTGACTGGGTATTCTGGCAAAAAAAAAAAAAAAAAAAAAAAACTTTTTTTTTTTTAGGTTGGTCGGTTATTTGAAACACCAACTTTCTAGGATAGCCTGTGTATTGGTTTTTGTTTTCTCCTGAGATATTAACTGTTTCTTTTGAGATTGGTTCTATTGGTTTTGCTTGTAGAATTAAAATGAAGTCTATATTATGGCTAAAATATTCCATTAAGTTAGAAAAAAATGATGATCTCACTGTCTGGAGATAAAACAAATAGATATTTACCTATTTAACATATATTTACCAACTGTCTCCTTATAAGCTCTAGGAAGTTTGGCTATCAGGCTGGTAGGGGAAGGTAAGCATGGACATAAAGAAGTACAATACAATATGGATAGTGGACGAGTACAGTGGCTCATGCCTGTAATCCCAGCACTGTGGGAGGTTCAGGTGGACAGATTCTTGAGCCTAGGAGAGCAAACTGGGTAACATGGTAAAACCCTGTCTCTACAAATAATACAAAAATTAGCTGGGCATGTTGGTGCACACCTGTAGTCCCAACTACTTTGGAGGCTGAGGTGGGAGGATCGCTTGAGCCCTGGAGGTGGAGGCTGCAGTGAGCCTTGATTCTGTCACTGGACTCCAGCCTGAGTGACAGAGCAAAACCCTGTCTCAAAAAAAAAAACCCAACAATATGGATAGTATTACATGTCATAAAATATGTCGACATGCTATGAGATTTCAAAGAAAGTAGATTGTTTTAACTGGGGAGGGAAAGGGAAGCAGGCCCTTGTCTCCAAGGGCTGAAGCTCAGTGTCTGGTACCAAATAGATACTTGGTATGTATTTGTTGAATGTTAAGTTAGAAAATGCTTCATATAAAAGTTGGCATTTGAGCTAGATCTTAAAGGTCAGATGAGATTTCGATCTGTGAAGATGGGAAGGGCATTTTAAGTAAAAAGAAAAGCATAAGAAAGGGTATGTTGGTGAGTAGAGCAAGGAAACAAAGAATATGGGGTTGAATGAAGACTGAGATGCAAGAAAGGGAATCAGGAAATAAGTCTTGAAGGTTAAGGTGGAACCGAATCATACAGGCCCTTAAATGGTATTCCAAGGAATCTGGCTTTCCAGTATTCAGTGGGAAGCTTTTGAAGTGTTTTGGAGCAGGAGGGTTAAGTGATTAACACTTAGACCTTGGGAAGAGTAATCTGACAGCAAATGTCCAGAATGAATTAAGGACAAATGGTGAGACTGGATGAAGGGACACTAGTAGGGAGAATATTGCAAGCATCCAGGTAATCAGAGCCAGAAATGAGGTAGTAACAGCAGGAATGGGAAGATTACATTCAATTTCTAGAGGTATTTAGATTATTAATTGGATGTTGGAGGAAAGAGTGAGGTCAAAGATGAACGCAGGCTTAAACTGATAGCTGGTGGGTAAAAAGATAATGATGCTGTCTTTGAGGAGAAGCCGATTTCTGTGGGAAGATGCTGAGTTCCTTATTAGACAGTTTGAGTTTGAAGGGCTGGCAGGACTTTCAGGTGAAGATAATGGATTGTTGGCTTGATGAAGGCTAGGTTTCTATTGATTGAATTAACTGAATTGGACCCCGACATTCTATTTGAATCACTTCAGTGGGACTCAGTTCCTTAGGAATGGATAACTGCACCTTATGTTTTCCTTATAGTTTTAGAAGAGAGTATGCTTCGCAATGTGTATGTCTTTTTGCATCATAAAAACTCCCAATAGATCTGGCTGTCTACAAAATCTAATTTAATGGGTCTGACAAACCCTTGTAGACATAGCCTGAACTGATCACAAGTTTTGCATCCTTTAGTAGCCTGGGTGAGAATTAAAACAGAAGCAATGTTGTATTCTCTAAATGTTTTAAACTCATGATTCTGTAATTAATATTGAACTCAGGAAGAGATGTCATAGTCATATAACACCTGCTTTACTGCTTATTTGTATTAGCTTCTTTGATATTAGTGTATTCAATTTCAAATACTGTTCAGGCCCCTACTCTTTAATTTGAGGCTAATTTTAAAATTTCATATTTTTGTTGTACTGTTGAAAATAAAATGACATATTTAGAATCCTAAGTTAGTATTCCAAGTGGAAGGTAACAGCAATAATATGTCATTATTGTGTTGTCATATTGAATGTGCCATTATCTGTGCTTAGAGCAACTGGGTGTACAGTTGACAGATTGCTCTTTTGTGATTTGCAGTACTGGCTAATTTTTTTTTTAACGTAGTTTAATTCCTTTACTTCAGTGTGCATCAGAATTTCCTGGGGATTCTGTTAAATTGAGGATTCCAGGGCTCCACTTCCAGAGTAGATCTGGAGTAGAAACCTAAAATCTACATTCTAAACAATCACCAGAAGTGGCCCCCAAACAACATTTTATATTGTCTAAAGCCTCTAAGTTCCTTACCTCTAAGTTCTTTGGCCTTGAAAAGTTAAGCTCAGAGAAAAGGGAATTTCCTAAGGTTCTCTACTGGTGTGTACATACTCTAGCTGGTGTATTCTCTAAAGCAATGTTCAGAACTTGGAGTTCATGGGTGGGCTTCAGATCTATGAACTGTTGAAGTTATATGTAAAAGAATGTGTCTACCTGTATTTTTCTGGGGAGATAGACCAAACCCTAAGAGTCTGGGACCCAACTCAGGTTAAGAACTACATTCCCAGCCAGGCGCAGTGGCTCACATCTGTAATCCCGGCACTTTGGGAGGCCGAGACGGGTGGATCACCTGAGGTCAGGAGTTCGAGACCAGCCTGACCAACGTGGAGAAACCCCATCTCTACTAAAAATACAAAATTAGCTGGGCATAATGGCACATGCCTGTAATCCCAGCTCCTTGGGAGGCTGAGGCAGGAGAATTGCTTGAACCCAGGAGGTGGAGGTTGCAGTGAACAGAGATCGTGCCATTGCACCCCAGCCTGGGCAACAATGGCGAAACTCCATCTCAAAAAGCAAAACAAAACAAAGAACTACATTCCCTGCCCCAATGTCTGGCAAAATTAGAGTGTCAAAAATATCTAATTTGATGACAAAAATATTCCTTACTTGTTATCCATCTATCTATATTTCTATAAGTTTAGAAGTTTTAGATACAGTAATTCTCAGCCTGGAATGAAGAGTATGGAAACATTGCACCATTGACTCCAAAAATGATCACCCAGAAAACCTCTAAGTAAAGCTATGTTTATTAAAATTAGAGTGACATAAAAGCATTACTTTGATAAAGTCTTAGTGTCTTAAGAAGGAGATGTCAGAAGGGATTATTTATAGGGTGTTAGGGCTTAGACTGTTTGATTTTAAAGCAGGTCTTGCAAGGTGAGGAATGGGTTAACATTGTGCAGTGTTTATGATAAAATAGCTTTGTATTGGTGAATATAGCAAAGGAAGGGGCTTGAAGCAAGTTTTAGTGAGCAAGCTGTTAGTCTCGATAAGCAAATTAGTTGGTTCACGGTATCTTCTAGAAACAAGTATTTCCTAAAGTAAGAAGCTATGTTATTTTTACTTATTCTCAGTATTGTTTAACATAAGAACATTAAAGTATGTCTATCTGGATATTGCCTAACACAGGGAAAATGAAATATGCCCAGTCCCAGTACTGTTTACACGCTGATAGTAAAGTATGCATGATCCCAGTATTTTTTAACACGGGCAGAAATTGTTAATTTCAGTTCTCAGTACTGAAGATTGGTATCCTTGGTGGATTGCTGGGGTTTTAACGCTCTCTGGCCCAACCATAATTCAAAACATACTATCCACTCAATGCCATACATTCTTCCAAGTCAACCAACCAATATGGCAGGATAGTGTTTGGTCCAAAGTAAACAGAAATATCTGTCTTTTTCTTTTCCTACAAACCTTCAGGTTTTCTAATAGTCCCTTAAGTCTATCCTTGGAGATGGGGAATGGCTTCCATTGGAGATTAACTGTGAAGATAGTAATGAATGTTAACAGTCAGTGAAATCTTGCAGGTGGATCTTATCTAGTGAAATATTAAGACTTGAAATGTGTAAGCTTGCCCCTTGCCCAGCAGACATTGACTGGTCTTTGTACCAGTTTAAGGTTTGGACCAAGAAGACTAGACTTTGAATCATTCTTTTTGCCTCTAGGGCTGTTTTTAGAGCCTAATAGACTGTATATACTCTCACTTGTAGAGGTCACATCATGCATTGCTTTAAACATATTAAAGGGCCCCCATACTTCACTTTATATTTTTGCTATAAATTTTTGAAATTATTTTTGAAATATTAATTTTGAAATTATTTACTTACAAGTAACTTTTAAAATGTATGATTAGGTATAATTTCTTGTTAAATTATTGTAAATATTCAAGAATTATTGCTAAATATGAAAATCTAACCTACAATTTATATTTAATATAATGAAATTTCTATAAATGCTAGACATAAGAGACTAGTTAAGTTGGCATATTGTTATACTTAACAGACATTTAATCAGACATTAATTAATTTTGACTTTATAGTTTTCTTCTGGCTTTTTGGAGCTGATGATTTATTTCTGATGGCAAACACTTTCATAGGCCCACGTAAAACTTATCAACCCTGGGCAAGGTTCATATTGCCTAATGGATAAAATAGCACCATTTGCCATATAAAAAAGTACTCAGCTTCCACCCTTCTACAAAGAAACAGTGATTAGGTACATTCCTGAAACCGGCTGGTGTAAGATAGGGCAAAACTTTCTGGAACATAATATCAAAGCAAATTTCAATAACCCAAAGCCCATTTCTCCCTGTGCCCACTGAAGTCCCCTGAAGAATTAGTGTTTTGCAAGAAGAAAGTGATTTTTTAAAAACCTGGAAACTTAATGTCTTTAACAGATGTTGCTATCCACATAACTATACAATGTAATAGCCCAGTTGTTATGGCTAAATTAAGAATCAATATAGCTGCATAAACAGGAAAACCAATGTTCAGTAAACATACAAACTTCAATCTATAAACCACTTAGCATCTATATCAGGGCAATAAAATATTCTTTCAAATGCTTGTTTATAAATTCTAGGTTGTCTTTCTTCTCACAATTGATAAGTCTTTCTGGCTCCTTTCAGATGTATGATTACACCTTATTACTTCACCATATGTTTATACATGATTGTAGAAAAGCCATATTGAGTTTTTAATCATGATTGAGGTCCTTTGATGTAATGGTCTATTAACAGGCTGCCTGTAACTGCCTCAGGAGCTTTGTCCTCAAAGAATGAAAATTCATTGTTGAATTATGTTAGGCCAGTATACCCAGTGGCATAAACAAAAACAAAATAAATACACAAAGACAAACCAAAAACAAACAAAAAAAAAACACCTATAATAGCACTGTCCAACAGAAATATAAACTATATTCATAACTTTAAATTTTCTAGTAACCACATATTAAAAAGTAAAAAATAGGTGAAATAAATTGTAATAATATATTTATTAAGCCAATATATTCAAAATACCAGCATTTCAACATATAATCAATATAAGAAATATTAATCTAACATTTTACAATTTTTTTATATTAAGTGTACAATATCTGGGATGTAATTTACACTTGAAACACATCTCAATTCAGGCTGGCCACATTTTAAGTGTTCTGTAGCCTTATGTGGCTGGTTGCTATGTGGCCATATTAAACAGTGCAGACCTGAGCCATAGTTCATGGTTTTTGAACTTGAGCATGCATCAGGATCACCTGGAAGGCTTGTTATAACACAGATCACTGGGCTCCACTTCCAGAGTTTTGATTCATAGGTCTGGATGGAGCCTGAAAATTTGCATTTCTAACAAGTTCCTTAATGATACTAATGATGCTGATCCGGGAACCAAGCTTTGAGAACCATGGCCATGGGTCTTTCAAAATCAAACTTTGGAACCATTTTACCACTGTATTAACATGAATGATCAAGAACTGTCCTTAGGTATTATTGCTATTGTACCACAATACTGTCGTATTATTGCAGTTTATAAAACATCAAAAATCTCCATTTAACTCATGGTTAATATTGAGTGATTATTCATGTGGATGAGTATTCTTTAGATCTTCATGTCTATTACTCTCTGAGTGCTTCTTTCCAGGAGGCTGGACAGGGAAGAGACATTTATTGGCTTGCTTGTTCTTAGAGAGTATTTACAGAGCTATATTAATACAATATGCATATGCATGCTCTGATCCTTAGGTAGAAAATAGTTCTTTTCAAGTGGACAAACTGTCAATCAATAAATTGATAATCTTCCCAGTATAGAATCAAGGCTCTAAGAGCAATTAGTTTGATTTTTAATGTATTTCAAAAACATTGAACTTTAAAATATTAAGTGAATAATAGTCCACTGTTTTTCAGCTCAATGAGAAATTTTTTTTAAAAATACACTTCATGGTTCTTTAAGCCATGACATGAATTTATCTCTGAACAAGTTCAGAGATTATATTCAGGTGAGCAAGCCCTGGCCACCAAATTGTTGATGATTCTGATCATTTGTGAAAGATGTAGTTTCCTCCTATCCCTACATGCTTAAATATTTTCATTTCCTTTGTTTTATTTCTGAAGAAAAACAAAACAAAGGAGTTAATACCTGATCTATAAACTTTGTTTTTGTCACAAGAGTACAAAAACAGCATCTGAGCCTCCATTGGCCCCTCCTGTGTCTGAAGAAGAAGATGAAGAGGAGGAAGAAGAAGAAGATGACAATGAGCCACCACCAGTTATCGCACCAAGACCAGAGCATACAAAATCAGTAAGTCACAAAGGACTATTTCCAAATGATTCAAAAGATGCCCTTTGGAATAGTCATAGAGTTAGAATATAGTTAATCTACTGCTACCTATTAAGCATCTTTTATGTTCCAAGAGCTAGAGTATACAATATGACCAAGGTTTTGAGGATGCTGTTTGAGGATACAAGATTAGCACATTAAACAATTAGAGAATAATACCAAACAATACATAACTGCTAAGTAATAAAAATGTTGGAGAAGATAAGGAAGGAAATCCATGTGAACCAGGTAGGAAGAATTGCATAAACAGAGGTCCTCAGACCACAATTAGCAAGGCATGTATAGGGACATCCAAAGACTAGCTCCCATGATCTTTCAATAGTGTTGTACTTTCAGCTACTCAAAGTCCTTTTTTTTTTTTAAGAAAATACCACTTGTCTTTAAAAATTCATTGATATTACAATACATTGACTTCACACTCTTTCCTTGGTCTGCTGTTTTAATTGCAGAACTTTCTGTTTTTTTAGATCTACACTCGTTCTGTGGTTGAATCCATTGCTTCACCTGCAGCACCAAATAAAGAGGTCACACCACCCTCTGCTGAAAATGCCAATTCCAGTACTTTGTACAGGAACACAGATCGGCAAAGAAAAAAATCCAAGATGACAGATGAGGAGATCTTAGAGAAGCTAAGTGAGTACTTTTTGCCATGATTACTTTCTTCATGGGAGTGTTTCTCATAAACCATTTAAAATGGGAATTGATCCTTTGAAAGTTTTAATCTGCTTATATGAACTCCAGACTTCCCAAAATCATGAGATGAAAAATTTGGGACTCACTGCATATGCCAGAACACTTTCTCCCTTCCACTCCTAATTTGACAGGAACTAAATATTTTTACTTGAAGGAATTAATTGAGATGAAAATTGATAAGACAAATTAAGTAGCAAGTTTTAATATTACATCTTCAAAAGAGATAGAATAGTCTGATAAAATATGTTATGATCATAACCCAAGGGCCCTCAACTAATCAGTGATGATAGATATGTTAACCTCAAAGCCCAACACAGTCAATCAAAACTTGTAACAACAAATAATATAGCTTTTTCCCTTAATTCAGAAGCATTTCTATGTGGCAGGAGAGACAGAACTAGCAAATGCTAGTAGCTTCCTTCCACAATGTCATTAGTATGTACATACTTGTGTGTACACACTTGTTGCCCCAGTTTTAGAAAACACTTACCTTCTAGTTACTTTTCTGGGTCAAGAAGATAAAAAAAAATGGATTATCTGCTGAAAAGTCAAAGGTTTGTAAAGCATATTCATTAAACTCATACTATAAAAGCCTCTAACAAATTGCTAGATATCAGCAATAAGTGCCCTCCCCCTCCAACCCCCAGTTTGACTAACTCCTACTCATCCTTCAAAACTCAGCTCAAAAGTTGCCTCCTCAGAAAAATGTTGCTTGTCTCTCCCAGTCCAAGTTAAGGGCGTCTCTTCCTTACCACTTTTATTGGAGCAAATATCAAACCATATTAGTCTGACTTCTTCACTACACTGTGAGATTCTTAAGAGCAGGGACTGTGCCCTTTTTTCCTTACATGTCCAACTCCTAGTTCATGCCTGTTACATAAAGGCATACGGCAAATGCTTGTTGAGGGAAAGAATGGAAAAAATAAGTAAACAAATACATCTTTACTGAGTTCCTACTTGTCTGTTCCATACAAGAAACTTTGGAGGACACAACAGAATGAAACTTTCCTGTCATCAAGAAATTTAATCTTTTTTGGAAAATACGATTTAATAATATGATACAATTACAGCATAAGAGAATCTCGTTTCATGTATATTTTTATTTAAAAGACCTCAGAAAAGGAAGAGAGTAATTCCCACTATAGGCCACAGGGAGGCTCTGCAGAGGTGGTGGTAGGATGATTTTGCCCTCCCAAGGACATTTAGCAACGTCTGAAGACTATTTTTATTGTCCTGATTCAGAGATTGCTAGTAGCATCTAATGGGTAGAGGCCAAGGATGCTTCTAAACATCCTACGGTGCATAGGACAGCTAGCCTCCGTCCACCTTACAGTAAAGTATTATTCAGTCCAAAATGTCAACAGTACTGAAATTGAGGCATTTGAGTTAGATGCATTTGGAAAGGCAAAGGTCGGAGTTGCAGCTGTCAGTGAGCACTCAGAACTACGATTGCTAGATTTTTGCTGACTTTACTATTCATGATTAAATATGCCACTAGCACTGATACTAACCATTTGCTGTAATAACAGCAATAGTAATTCTCATTTATTGAGCACCTTCTGGGTGGGCCACTTTACATACATTATCATAGTTTCACAGTAGTTCCTTGCAGCTGATCCTAATATCCTCATTTTACAGATCAGTGAATGAAAGTAAGCTTTAAAAAGCTTAACTGACCAAGTCACCAAACTAATGTGTGGCACAGCCAAAGTTTGAACTGAGACCTGTTTACCTTCAAAGCTTACACCTTTTCCATTACCTACCTACTTTGCTTCTGCATATCCCAACTGTCTATTTTTGTAAAAAGGAAGAATGAAATGAAAGAATTGCCTGGAATAATTTAAGTTCAATTATTCAGACAATTGCCACAATGTTTTTCTTTATTTTGCGTGTGTAGACATGACCTATGTGATTATATCAGATTTTAAAAATCCAACAGCCTTGCTTTAATAAAATGATTGTTATTTGGTGTCTGTTTCAAATCTCAATGGATGTATTACAACAAAAATGCTTGTACAGTTTTGTTAAGTTAGTTGACAGAGAAACAAGCATTATTTTCTTGGACCAAAATCTTGTTTTGCTTGTAAACTCTAATCGTGCTAGAGCTGTGTCCTTATTATTTGTTGTTTATTCTGCTCTACACTGAGCAACTTGGTGAAGAAGGGGAAGCTAATTTGATACATTTTAATTAAGAGTTAAGTGGGTTTTTTTTTTTCTCTACTGGACTTCATGCTTGGGCATAGAGACAGTCATTTTCCCTCTAGCCAGCAGGCCACCTGTGACTGCCAACCTTACATTGAATTTGTAGATTTTGTCAGGGTGAACCTGCTGAGAAATGGAGCAGTGCTTCTCATGAAGCAGATCCAGTGAACTATACTCTAAAGTCCACAAAGTCAGACTTTCCTGCTCCACCATTACCCTCTCTGTGCCTTCTCTTTGCCATTACACCTTTGTGTAAGGATAACTTCAGACAAGTGACTTAACTCCTCTCAGCCTCAATTTTTAACCTGTGAAATGGAGATAAGAATCATAACTACATTTTTACAAAATTACATTTTTGTAAGAGATAAGGTCTGGCTCTGTTACCCAGGCTGGAGTACACTGGCACAATCATAGCTCACTGCAACCTTGACCTCGTGGGCTCAAACAATCCACCTCAGCCTCCCAGGTAGCTATAATTTTAAGTATACGCCACCATGCCTGGCTATTTTTTTTAATTTTTGTACATATGGGGTCTTGCTGTGTTGCCCAGGCTGGTCTTGAACTCCTGAGCTCAAGCAGTCCTCCTGCCTCAGCTTCCCAATGTGCTGGGATTACAGGCAGGAGCCACCAAGCCTAACCCATTACTACATTTCAAGACTCTGTCTATAGGATGGATTTTAAGGAGCTCATCCTATGGTTAAGAGGTCAGATATTGGAGTCAGAAGGATCTACATTTAAATCACAGACCCATTGCTATTAGCTGTGTCACTTAGGGCCAGTTATTTAAATTTTCTGGACCTCCATTTTCTCATCTAAAAAGTGGGGATAATGATAATATAAAAACCCCAGCAACAGTACCAGGTACGTCATAGGGGCTCAGTAAGTGGCAATTATTACTACATAAGTATAAAGCCTTAATAATATAATACAATGGGTCAAGCTTTGAAATAAGTCATCACTGGTCTGAGTCATAGACTTATACTAGCTGTATGTCCTTAGTCAAGTCACTTAACATCTCCAAACACCATTTTCTTTATCTGAAAGATGGAGATAATAATTGTACCTACATAATGGGGGTTGTATGAGGACTAAATGAGTTAAAGTAGATAAGACATCTAGCACAATAAACAGTAGTATAAAATTGTTATTATGCTATTTTTAGAGTGAGAGCAATCATATTTTTCAGCATAAAAATGGGGTTATGGGGTCTTACCAGTGTGACAGAATGATTGAAACCAGGAATAATCCCAGATGTATGATTACTGTACAGAAGCCATCAAGTATCTTGGACTCAAGGGCCCCATTGGAGCTTGGGGAAAAAGTAGAGCAGCCTGTGCTGAGAGGCAAAAGAGAGGAAAAAGGGAAACAGGGAAGTAGAAAGATGGCCAATATCCCATACCAGAGTGGACCTCATAAGCATGATGAAGAGTAGATGGCAGCCTCTACTAAACCATCCTCACCTTCAGTGTCAGGGGTCCGGTTACTAAGAGGTGGGCAGCCTAGACCACAGAGCTATCCTTCATCTTCCATGCAGATACTGATTGTGGTGGCCAGACCAAGAATCATTATTGGCTGAAATGAACAGGTCATCTTTCGGTTTTACATAGACAAAGAGCCTGGGTCTGGCTTGTTCATTGTGTTGAAAAATAAAGAAACAAGAACAGAAAACCAAACACTGCATGTTCTCACTCATAAGTGGGAGTTGAGCAATGAGAACACATGGACACAGGGAGGGGAACATCACACACTGGGATCGGGGTGTGGGGGGCTAGGGGAGGGATAGCATTAGGAGAAATACCTAATGTAGATGACGAGTTGATGGGTGCAGCAAACTACCATAGCACGTGTATACCTATGTAACAAAACTGCACGTTCTGCACATGTACCCCAAAACTTAAAGTATAATAAAAAAGGAAACGCCCACATTTTACTGACAAATTTCAAAAGCCAATGACTGTCAGTAAAGTTGTGTAATACAGGAAATTTGTCTTCAATCTCCTTCCTCTGGGCCCCACAATCACCGACTCCTTGCCTCGCCCCTCCCTCAGCATTCCTCACTCAAAGCCTTTTTCCTAATTCACCCTCATATAGAACTGATATCAGTTTAGATAATTATTTTACTTTTTCTCAGAAATCAAAATCTTCATTATGCTAAAAGGATAATCTTTTAATGGTGGGAGTTCACTTAGTCAGAAAATATATTGATGGGCTTTTCTGTCACTGAACTGAAATCATAAATGCTATTTTCAAATGCAAGTATTTAGTGTTCTTAAAACCTGTACTTTAAAATGAATAGTTTCTTTCTTATTTAGGAAGTTCTGGTAGGAAATTGTTCTGGTATTGCTTTTTTTTCTTTTGATTTTGATTTGCTGATTTTTAAAAACTTTCTCCCTACTTTGTCACAGTGTTTTTTATCTATCATAATTTACAAAAGCAAATTATAATAACTAATGGAAAAGATAACTTTAAAAGCTTGTTTTGTGATTGAGAATGGTAAACAAGGCCTCTAGTATACTTACCTAACATCAGTAGATGGCAGCACACACTCTGCTGTGAAGGGCAATGGGTGTGGAGACACCATTTTATTTGAATAGCAGTTAAGTTCAGAAGTGGAATCTCATCAAAATGGTTGTCTTTTGGTAATCCTTGTGAAAGGATTTATTTCCAGTTTTTTTTTTCCCCTGCATAACATGGAAATAAAGGTTGAATAATTTATTACCATAAAGCCACATTAACTGAACTCCACCAATTGGAATGGGTTATAATTCAGAAAGTGACTTGGGCTGAAGCTTACTTGCTTTTTCTATATGGAAAAAAGTTTGCTTAGCAACTTAATAGTAAAACTTTTAGAAGACTATAAACTGCTTAATAAAATTATGGCTTCAAATGACTTTAAAATCATTTCATTAAAATAAAAAAGTCCAGGCCCTTGCCCATTAATAGCTAATTTGAATAAGGATGGCTCTCAGTTATGTAGAAATCTTTTAGACAAGTTGAAAAATAAAAGGCCAACTCAGAAATTGCTAAATTGGTGGCATTCTATAGATACAGCTCAAGTAAAATATATTCTCCAACCCTTGCCTTAAACCATGGAGCATTTACAAACGGAAATAACTAATTGTATTTTACTGTAATTTGGAAAATATTCGTTGAGTATTCAATATATTCTACACATGGCATTGTATGAGGAGGCACTGAAGATACAGAGATGAATAAGACATGGCTCCTTGTCCTTAAGACATAGTCTAAAAGGCGATATCAAATACCATGCACACACAAAGGAACCTATGCAGATGACTGCTTAGTACAGAGAGTAACTCAGCACAAGTGTTACGTTGTGACCAAGACTTTAGGTGAACCAGGAAGAACTGTGGAATTCCTATCATGTATATCAGGTATATTTCTAGCCATAGATACAACATTGAATGGATGCCAGATGATTATGGAACTCTTCAGTTCTAATTCTTGCAAGTCAAAGTTCCAAATAGATAGATATAGACATCTGATATATTAAGTACAGAGAGAGAGCGAGCAAGGGCCAGAGAGAGAGAGAAGATACAGTAGTAGCATAGAAAAGTGAAGCTGTTAATTATTCAAAGGGATCAGAGAAAGCTTCCTAGAAGAGGCAACATCTAAACAAAGTTTTGAAGCATGACTAGGAACTTGCCACAGAGAAAATATGGGAAGGACATTTCAGGCAGCGAATGGCATGTAAAGAAGACTTGAAGGCATATGTCTGGGAACTCTGACTTATTCGGTGTTACTTGAATAAAGAATTGGTGGTATATGGTGACACTGGCGTTGTAGGAGAGGAAACTGAACTTTTAAGCAGGAGCTGATCATGCACTACCATTAGTTTGTTATGCTCAGAGCATGAAGTTCTAGTGAGGAAGTGGTAAATGATGAGAAGAGAATGAAGCGGGAGCCAGATTAGGAACCTTGCATTGCCAAGGAGTTTTGGCTTTCATCTGTAGGTGTTAGGGAGCTATCAAGTAATCCTGAACCAGAGAATCACATCATCAGGTCTGCACTTAGAGGATCCTGATAGAGATGTAGAGTCTTGACCAGAGGGGGCAGCAGCTAGACTAGTAGTCTAGCTAGGAGGCTGTTGGAATAACCCAGGGAAAAGATAATGAGAGCCCAACTAAAGCAGTAGTAATGAGGAAGGAACACATTCAAAAGATGTCTAGGAGGTAACAAGATATAGGCCCTTGGTGGACAACTGCATGTGATAAGTGATAGTAAGAGACAAAGTAAGAGTCAATGATGACTCGTAGATTTCTAACTCAGGCTAATGAGTAGATGGACTGACAGTACTACTGACTGAGTGGAAATACAAAAGAAAAAGTATTATAACAACCCATATATTAGCTAAGTGTTATTTAACTTAATTGAAAAGTGAACTTTCATTTAAAAAAAAAAAAACCCAACAACTTGATGAGTAATCCATGCGTGAAATGTTTAACTGATTATTTTTCTCAAGGTATGCTATCTACTGTTAGGTCTAAATTAAGTTGTCTACTTAATTTAGAATAGACTGTTGTATAAATTAGCATGAAGTATTATCTGTAGCATATAATTAGCATATAAAAGAGAATAGACTGTTGTATAAATTAGCATGAAGTATTATCTGTAGCATATAATTGAGCACTTAAATACATATTTTCTTGTTCTTATTCATTTAATCAACAAATGTTTGTTTAGTAGCAGCCACTGTTCTAGGCTCCAAAGTTACAGGGATGAAAAGACAAAGTTCCTGCCCTCGAGAAGCAGCATGTAAGTCTCAGTGAAATGATCAGAGAAGACTTCATAGAGGTGGATAATTTGAGATTTTATTTAAATGACAAGAATTCATGGGTTAGATAGGAAAGGAAAAGGGGGAGCACATGCAAAGACCTAAGCACTAGATAGTGATAACATTACTAGGATATAAAGTAGTAAGGGGGGAGAAAAAGAATAATGTAAAGCTAGACTGGTTAGATAGGAGCCAGATGATGCTGAATGGTGAAGGGCCTTCTCTGTTTAACTACAGAAATTGGATTTGATCTTGCAGTGGGCAGGAGCTTTTGAGGAATCATAAACAGTGGAGCAAAATCATTCTGATATAGAGTTATTGTACATCTCAGTCTGTCCAGGACAGTCTCATTTTATGAATAATATGGTCACCCTTTTCCAAAGGCATGGTGTAAGAGGAACTAGAGAAAGCAGAGTCTATAAGTAGGTTATGACTGGCACAATTGTTTGAATAAGAAGTATTGAAGGCCCGAACAATAACAGTGGCCATGGGCATAGAGAGAAGAGTATGAATACGAGTGACAACTAGAAGATAGAATCTACAGATCTCTTGATTAGTTCATATGTGAAAATCTTGTCTTACCAACCAACCGTACACTTATTTGTACTATGTGTTAGTAAGATATAACTAACTCAAAGGTAATAATACTGACATGTTTGCTTCCAAAAAGAAAGGCGGGCCAGAGGCATCCAAATAAATGATGCCCTTCAAAGTAGTACCCTTGAGAAGCTGCACCCTTATTCCCATGATGGTTCTATAATCCCAAGTTTTTTCTGGACCTATTTGAACACTGCATTGAGGAGTCAATGCCGCTTCTGTGGTATTTATTCTGAGTCATAGCAAGTATTCATCCTCTGAGTGATGGATTGGATTTTTTTGAAATAGCAAAACTAATATTTTTAAAGAGCCAAATATGATCAATTAATAGTTTTCTTTTGTAGCTTATAAACTTACTAAAAATGTTTGGAGCAATCTATAGAAACAGAAAGTAGATTAGTGGTTGCCGAGGTATGTTTTGGCAAGCTGAGGGAGGATGGGGAGTAACTGCTAACAAGTAACAGGTACAAGGTTTCTTTCTGGAATAATGAAAACATTCTAAAATTAGATCATGATGACATTTACACAACTCAGTAAATATGTTAAAAACATTCAATTGCACACTCTAGGTCATTGAACTTTATGGTATGTAAATCATATGTCAGTAAATCTGTTCAAATCTTTGGAGCACTAACAGTGTCCTAGGTTCAGAAATGTATGTTTTGAAAATGCATGGGTCTCATTACTTTATGATCATACTTTGTTCTTCATTAGACTCATTTCCATCCCCACACCCTTAGCACTGTACTGGGTACATAGTAAATACTCAATAGATATTTGTCCAGCAGAATTGGATATAGCATAGTGCTTAACTTCAATTCAGAGAAGATAGTGATTTTACTAAATAGTGTGGATAAGTTCTTAGATTGTTTTTTAGCGATTATACCAATTTATGTACCCAGCATCAGTGCACAAGGGTTCCAATTGCTCTACATCATTGATAACATTTGTATTGACAACCCTTTCAATTTTAGCCATTCTTATCAGTCTGTAGTGTTAACTCATTCTGGTTTTAATGTGTATTTTCCGGAATATTTATGAGACTGAGCATATTTCTGTATTTTATAACTTCAACTTCTGTTATAGATTAAAGGGTACACATGCAGGTTTGTTACATGGGTAAATTGTGTGAGGCTGAGGCTTGGGACTCTAATGATGCCTACAGCCAGGCAGTGAGCATACTACCCAATAGGTAGTTCTTCAGCCCTTCTCCCAATCCTCCCCTGTCTAGTGATCCCCTGTCTTTATTGTTCCTATCTTTATACTCATGTGTATTCATTGTTTAGCTCTTATAAGTGCCACTTATAAGTGACAACATGCAGTATTTGGTTTTCTTTTCTTGCATTAGTTTGCTTAGGATCATGACCTCCAGCTCCATCCCTTTCTTAGATGGTTATTATATCCTAATATATAGTATCATGAGAACTTTTTATAGATGTTGGGTTGTGACAAGTTTTGTTTTCCAAATATCAGTAATGTTGAATATAAGCAAAATGAGTTATTATTACTACTTTAATTACTATAAAATTATTTGTTATTTTAATAAGTAGAAAGTATCATTTTATATAAATTATAGAAATCACATGGGAGTATTTGTCTAATGTTTTATTTGTCACTGACTCTGGCATCTTAATTTTCATTATTAAATTAAAAAACAGTCAATCAATTTCCATTTCTCTCTCTCTCTCTCTCTCTCTCTCTCTCTCTTTCTCTCTTCCACCTCCTCCTCTTTTCTTCTCTCCCCACCCGTCTCTTAGGAAGCATTGTGAGTGTTGGGGACCCAAAGAAAAAATACACAAGATTTGAAAAAATTGGTCAAGGGTAAGTGATTGTTATTTGAAATATAAAAAGATGAGTACAAGCAACATACATTAAAATTAAAATTCAGTAAGAGCTTGGGTTTTGCATAAATTATGCTTCTCATTTCCTAGATTATATTTGTGTCTTGCATTCTCAGTATTGGCCTTTCAGGGGGAGGGCTGACTGTTCATTAACCTAGGAACACATCCTGCTGAAATCTTCATCATTGTTGGCCTGACAGTAAATTCTGTGGGGACATTTCGATCCTATGTAGTTAGAAGATTCAAACAGATTTCTCTAGAAAAAGCAGTAGGGTTATGGAAACTTCTAGCTTACATAAAAACCCCCTTTATCGCAATTCCCCCTACAGCTCCATGGATGGTATGATTAAGATCCTGTTTTATTGTCAAAATGTAGAGTGACAAAATGAGGGTGGGGAATGTCCTTATGGAATGATCCAGAGGTAGGCAGAGTTGACTGAGTATGGAGGAAACAGACAATAATCCCTAAATGAGACCTAGTGCATCATTTTCACTTAGTATACTTGTTAAAGATAAAGATTCCTATGCCCCACTGCCAAAGATTTGATTTAGAAGTCTGGAGTGGGGTTCAGTGATCTGAACTTTGCAAAAGTTCCTCAGATAATCCTGATAATCAGCAAGACATGGGAACCATTGCATTAGATTATTCACTAAGGCTGAAGGCAGGAGTCACCAGTTCTGCAAGTCAGCTGTACTCATGCATGTCTCTCAGGCCTCAAGGTGAAACTAGGCAGGTGGATCTGAGCAGGCAACAGCATTTGAAACAGGGAAAAGTTTTATTTAAAGGAAAATGGAATATTCTTAATGGACACCGTTAAATGAGGAGTGAGACACATATTCAGGGACACCAACTACTGTATGTCAGAAACAAAGATGTCACCTCAGACATTTCCTGGCTGAGGCAAGGGGCTGTAGACAAAGGGTTACAGCCAATATGCTTGCAAAATTGTGCTAGCCCATCAGCCATTACAATCTCATTATTTTAGGATAAGAGAAGGTAGAATTTCTTCAAGAACCACACTGCTTTTCCTGGCATACTTAGGTTCAAAAAAGTATATATCACATATAAGCTTGATTGTTTTTCATGATTTTATATTTTCTTTGTTTTTCCCCCTAGCTTTTGTACTAAAGTTTCTTTTGAAATTGACAGTATATCTCAGGAAATAAGGGAAAGCATTCATTAGACATTTGGGCTAGAGAATAGGAGAGGCACTCATGGAAACTGTGCCTGGCGGGAATCAAGATGAGAAGACCCTAAGGGAGACAAACTCAGGAAGAAATGCATGGCCAAGTTTATTCTTCCAGTCAAAACCATAATGGCATTATATTTGAACTTTCCAGGGAGCTAAAATGTATTCTCATTTGCTCACAAAAAAGAAGAGTTCTGTGGTCTCTAGAAGCTCCCTGTCACCGAATGGGTCAAATTAATATTTCTACTCATTCTAAAACAGTGATAAACAATAGAAGTTACTGTGACGATAGAGATGTTCTATATCTGTGCTGTCTAATATGGTAGCCACTGGCTGTGTGTGGCTATGCGGCACTTGGAATGTGGCTAGTGCACACAAGAAACTGAATTTATGTGAATTCATTTATTTGTTTAGCAGATATTTCTTGAGCACTATGTTCCAGGCACTATGCTAGGTGCTAGAGAGACAGAGATGGGTAATGATGGTGTGGGCCCTCAAGGAACTTACAGTCTACACTGATAAGTGCTTGACAGAGGGATACAGGGTACCAGAAGAACCTTGAGGCAAGCTTACTCAATTCAACCAAGTGCAGAGCGGGGCCAGCTTCTAGAGCCATTTTCTCCCACCAGGAATTTTCCCTGTCTACTTCTGGTGGACTGGTTGTTTTACCTAAGTAAGAAAGCTATACCTTCCCAAGTTCATATACAAACCTCAACTCTCCTTCTTCATGCCTAAAGGGTAAATACCACCAGACAGATTGCAAAAAGACAGTATTATGTACTAAAGGGACTTAGAAAACAAGAGTTGGCTTTTAGATTTTATTTTCATCTGGTTAAGTCTCTGGTAGAGCTAACAATAGGAAGGGAAAGGATATTCAATCCACTTAGAAGTAATACTCCAAATCATTGTTGTCCAGTACGGTGACCAGTAACCACATTTGGCTATTGAGCACTTGAAATGTGGCTAGTCCAAAAGGAGATGTACTATAAGTATAAAAGGCACACCTGATTTCAAAACCTTAGTATGAAAAAAGAATGTAAAATATCTCATTAATACATTTTTATTGATTACATGTTGAGATATTTTGCATACATTGGATTAAAGAAAATATATTATGAAAATTAATTTCACCTTTTAAAAACTTTTAAATATATAGCTCTAAGAAATTTAAAATATGGCTTGTGGCTCATGGCTCATATTATATTTCTAATAGGCAGTAATGCTCTAGTTGTAGCCTTAACTGGGAGTTGTTTATTTATTCGTAAAGTGTTTTTCCATGGTTGTTTTTTGGAGAGTGGGAGATGTTATAATTTTGTCCTGATTGTTCCAACTAAAAGCCAACTGAGCCAAAAATAGCATTAAATTTTAAAGGGAAAAAGTACAAGATGGTTTCAGATATCTCCCAGATACTAGGTAATGAAACAAGACTAATTTTGCCAAGAACAAAGATCAGGCCACCAAGCAACTTTGTGTAACAAAGAGATTTCCTCTTTTGGCTATTATTTATGCCTGTGACTTTTAAAGATGAAAAGGAAAGTTCTCTATCTCTGAGTCTCTTTGTACAGTCTTCATAACCTAAAATGAAAAATCGAAGCATAAATCCTGCTTGCCACTGCAGAAAGGTCTATTTTAAATTCCCAGCAAGTTCATCATTTTAAAGAATGATAAAGTAGCAGATAGTTCACTCATAGGCCCAACACAACTTTTTAATATGTCCTTAGAGGGTATGGAGTCTATTGTATTTCTACTTTTGTCTTCTTTAGTGTTTAGCACAGTGCTTTTGCACTTAGTAGGCCCTCAAAAACAATTTTGTGCAGTTATGATCAACAGCTAGATTCACTTTGGCCAGATTCAAAGAACTGCAAAGCTGTCTGCCAACTCCATCTCTGTGGGCCTGTTTTTGCCTCAATAAATATTTGTTGAGCTAATGAAAATTGTTTGTCTTTCTACCGCATCTTCTCACTCGTAAGTGGGAGTTGAACAATGAGAACATATGGACACGGAGGGGAACAACACACATCGGGGCTGGAAAGGGGATGGGGGGGCGAGGGGAGTGAGAGCATTAGGGCGAATAGCTAATGCATGCGGGTCTTAAAACCTAGATGTCGAGTTCATAGGTGCAGCAAACCACCATGGCACACGTATACCTATAACCTGCATGTTCTGCACTTGTATCCTGGAACTTAAAGTAAAATTTTAAAAATAAAAAAGAAAATGTTTGTCTTTCTAACTATCCCTTTCCTCTGTCCTCTGTATTTACATGTGTATGCACATGCCTATCTTGCTCCTCCTGTGTCTGTCTGTCTTTCCCTGTTTTTCCTCAGTGTGTCTTCATATTTTTGTCTTTCACAATGACTTGGTTGGCCTCATCACATCTGATTCCTTTATTCTCTGGGTATTTGTGTGTGCTGCATATCTGTCTTCTTCAAGCATGTTGGTTTCACATTCTACTGCCCATTTTCACACACACCCCACAACCCAAATGGTCATAATGTAAAATCAAGATGTATTCAAGATATAATCTACTGGCTTAAATCTATTTACTATGATTTTATCATTTATTTAATTTGCTAATTTTATTTTTTTGATCTTAGTAGATTGTTTTCCCTCAGTTGACAAAAAGTTGACTTTTTTCTTTCTGGAACAACAACAACAAAAAAACCACCTCCCACTTATATTAATTTTCTTTTTACTTAAATTACTTTCAACTGATTTTGTTTTCATTAATTACTGGCCTAAGTTATATAAACTAGTCTCTACTCTCAATGTATAGAGTTTTTTTAAATTAAATCTGTATTTTTAATTGTTTTTGCCTTACCTATTATTACAGTGACATTCAAAATTGTTGTCAATAATCATTTGGTGTTAGGGATAATCAGCCCCAGCATCCTATTCTCAATTGCAGAGAGCACAACAGTTCACTCACTCTCAGGAGCTGGATTTGAGAAGAGTCTCTCCATTAATCACCCTCATTTACTTGGAAAACTAAATTTTTCTCCAGCATGGGTTTCTGCCATCCCAGCATTCAGGCCTGGGGCCAGAGAATTGGGCTCCATCTTCCATAAATCAAGTTCAGAATCACATGTCTAATCATTTGAGGCCATAGCTGTGAGTTGAAGGCTAAAAATGACATTGTTTCACTGGGTTTGCTGTGAAAAGTGTTCTATAATTGGCCACCAAATCCAGACATTTTGAACAAATTTATGCAAAGTTAAAAAATAAGGAAAGAAAGAAAAAAAAGTCAGGTACCCCAAAATTATCATTAACTCAACAACATGAGTTTGTCAGAAATATATCTGGTGCGGACTTGAGAATCTTTACTTTCTAGAATAGTTATATAAAATCACTTGTTTAATAAATGAGGTAGAATGAGACAACAAAATCAAATATTTATTTCAGTCAACGGCTATCATTGGCAACCCTGTGTAATTCCTGAATAAGCAATAGCTATATAACAGAGGGCTGAATTTACAACGTTGACAGCTGTCCTCACGGATTTCTCATTAATGTATTTGAATTCAGGTTAGGGTCTTTCCTTAAATGAGAATGCACTGAAAAACAGGCCTTTTTTCTCTTTCAGGTTCATATTGTCTTTTCTCTTCGACATTATAATAGAAAATTATTTTTGAGGAAGCAGCTCAGAGGATCCGGTTTAACAAGTATCTTTTTAACATCAGTGAACCTTTAATGAGTGCCTACTATGTGTAATCTAGAGTAGCAGTTAAGAATCAGGTTCTGGGAGTTCACAGTGACCTCTATACTTGTGGTCCCACTGAATATTTGACAGGGA